GCCTCCCTGCTCCTGGGGCAGCATGGTGAGGTGGCCAAAGCCAAGCCTGGTGGGGTCAATAAATCTGGCGGCAAAATATACAAAGTGTGGACAGTCACATGATCCAGCCATACTGTGCTCTGCTACGTTAAAACAAACAAACAACAACAAAAAACAAAAAAAGAAAATAATCCAGCCATGCCCTGTCTCAGGGCCTTTACACTTGCTGTTCCCTCTGCACGCATGCCCCTGCCCTGCAATTTCTCTAGGACTCACTCCTTCAGGTCTTTGCTTAAATGTTTCCTCATCAGTCAGCCTACCCTGATGCCCATGAGCCTCCCTCACTGCTATCCCATCTGCCTGCTTTAATTTTCTGTGTTGTTTTGTTTTGTTTTACCTAGTTATCGTATTTATTGATTTATCGTCTGCCTCCTCCACAGATTATAAGAGCCCTGTCAATTTCGTTTACTGATATATCCTCGATTTAGTTTTCTATTACTAGATTAGTAATTTTCTGTTACTGTGTAACAGATTACCCCTAAAACTAACAGCTTACAACGAGCATCTAGTATCCCCCACAGTTCCTTCGAGCAGGAGTCCTCATGAGGCTGCAGTCAGCCCAAGGCCTGACCAAGCTCACACAGGTGGTGGGCGTCAGGCCCCAATTCCTCGCTGGCTGTTGGCGGAGGCTTCAGTACCCTCCCTGGTGGGCCTCTCACAACATGGCGGCTGTGTCCCCCGGATCAAGAGATCCAAAGAAGAGAGGGAGCAAGAGAGTGAGAGACTATCCCAGACAGAAGCCACAGTCCTTTACAACCCAACACAGGACATGATGGCCCTTCACTTCCTGGTCCATTATGGGAGGGGAACTGCTCAGGGGTGTGGGCACCAGGAGGTGGGCATGATCGGGCCAGCTCCCAAACCCAACACATGCCTGGTACGTAGAAGATGCTTAGGAGTTGGCTGGGCACGGTGGCTCACACCTGTAATCCTAGTTACAGGAGGCCAAAGGCCTACTCTGGAGGCCAAAGCGGGAGGATCACTTGAGCTCAGGTGTTTGAGACCAGGCTGAGAAAGGGTGAGACCCCGTCTCTACCAAAAATATAAAAAATTAGCCCAGCATGGTGGTGCACACTACTCAGGAGGCTGAGGCAGGAGGATCCCTTGAGCCCAGGAGTTTGAGGTTGCTGTGAGCTGGGCTGGCACCATGGCCCTCTAGCCTGGGAAACAGAGTGAGACTCTGTCTCAAAAAAATAAAAAACAAAAAAATGCTTGAGAAAGAAAGTAGAATGAAAGAATTAAGACAAGGATGATATTAGCATAACGTGAAGTCTGGTCTTCAGTTCTCACGGGGGTAACAGCCTTGACCATTGTCCCATACTGAAAGGATCTTAAACACATTCAGGGTTTCCTCAACCACCCCCCAGCCCCCATGATACTCTCTTATCATTCACCTCCACCTCTTCCCAGCCGTGTCACCGTGGGCAAGTTCTGAAACTCACAGGCCGATGTGTAAGAGTCACAGTGTCTGGCACACACAAGACCTCAGTATGTAGCTGTCACAGTCAGTGCTAGGTGTTACCAATTCTTCAGGGAAAGACCAGAGTATCTCCCTGGAGTCAGGAGCGGTTGTGGAGCTAGGGGTGTTGGGGTGCGTTTGTGTGTGTGCTTCTGTGTGTCTGCTCTTCCGACAGGAGCTGGCCGGGTCGCCAGTGCCTGGTCATGTGGTCCAGATACCCAGGTTTATCACTTGGGCCAGAGATGGTCACGTGCTGGGGCCTTAGTCACCCAAACAGGAAGGAGATTCTGATGAGCACATGGGCCGCCATCTGTTTACACTGCCTAGCATGTGTTTCTGACACCAGTGGTTCTTAACGCTTTTGCAGCAAGAACAGCTAAGAGGACAAGGTGTCATGGAAACCTTTGAAAGTTTGCAAGAAGAATGCATATATATATGTACCACTAAAAATTATAGGCCAGGCATGGTGGCTCACGCCTGTAATCCTAGCATTCTGGGAGTCCGAAGCGGGCGGATCGCTCAAGGTCCGGAGTTCGAAACCAGCCTGAGCAAGAGTGAGACCCCATCTCTACTAAAAATAGCAAGAAATTAATTAGCCAGCTAAAAATATATAGAAAAACAAATTAGCCGGGCATGATGGCCCAAGCCTGTAGTCCCAGCTACTCAGAAGGCTGAGGCAGTAGGATCGCTTGAGCCCAGGAGCTTGAGGTTGCTGTGAGCTAGGCTGACGCCATGGCACTCTAGCCCAGGCAACAGAGTGAGACTCTGTTTAAAAAAAAAAAAAATTATATATAATAAGCTCAGGCCATTCCCAGAACCTAGATTCAAAATGCCAGCAGAAGACTGTGGCCTCCTTGAAGGCAGTGACTGCAGCTTGTTTCTCCTAAACAAATGAGTGAATGAAGGAAGGAAGGAAGGAATGGAACAAAAGTTCTTTTTGTTTTTTTGTTTATTGAGACAGAGTCTCACTTTGTTGCCCAGGCTAGAGTGAGTGCCGTGGCATCAGCCTAGCTCACAGCAACCTCAAACTCCTGGGCTCAAGCAATCCTGCTGCCTCAGCCTCCCGAGTAGCTGGGACTACGGGCATGCGCCACCATGCCCGGCTAATTTTTTCTATATATGTATTAGTTGGCCAATTAATTTCTTTCTATTTATAGTAGAGACGGGGCCTCGCTCTTGCTCAGGCTGGTTTCGAACTCCTGACCTGGAGCAAACCGCCCACCCGGCCTCCCAGAGTGCTAGGATTACAGGCGTGAGCCACCACGCCCGGCCTCGAATGGAACAAAAGTATCAAACTGCCAGGAAGGCTAGAATCTTAAAATCTTTGCTGGTTAGCACATCCTCTCCTCTTGTATAATTACCTCCAGAAAACTGGCTGGGTTCCAAAGACCTGCATTCAAGTGTTGCCTTAGCCATCTCTCTAATTGTATGAGCTTGGACTTGTCAACTCACCTCCCTCACCCTCATTTCCTTATAGCATGAATTACAAAGATTGTGTTGTAGGTTACAAAAGCTGCACAAGGGACTCTTACTTTTGGAAAATGCATCTGGAATTAGATAAAAGGAGCTGAATATTCAGATCAACCTGCCCTCTCGCCTCCAGCCCCCATCAACACAGACCCATCTTGGGGATGGGAGGGTTCCTGGGGGGGCAGTTTGCTCAGGGGACGGTGTATATGTATATGTATGTAGCCAGCCCTGTCTTTTGTTAGCATATCCATAGTCAGATAACCAAATTACAACACAACTGAGGCTAGGACAGCTTGCTTTGGTCTCATTCTAGGCCTAAGACAGCACCCTATCCAAATAGACTGGATTGAGAATCCTGTAGTCATTTAGGCAACAAATATTTATTGAGCAGCTCCTATAAACCAAAGCCGGTGCCAGGTGCTGGGGATACCATGGGAACAAAACTGCTATGTTCCTTGTCCTCTCGGAGCTGACGGTCTGGCGGGGGCAAATATTAATTAATCACCCAGAGAAGCCCAGGGTGCTGTGGAGATGTGCAATGGGAGCTCCTGATCTCGGTGGTGGGGAGGGTGGGGGTGAGCAGGACAAGCTTCCTGTAGAAGAGCCATATCAGCTGAGCCCTGAACTCAGTGAGGAGCCGTGGCTGGGGTGGGAAGTACTCTGGGCAGAGAGGCTACAGCAAGTGCAAAGGGCCTGTGGTTTACTTTTGAAAATGCACATGAAGGCTGGTGTGGTTAGAATGCACAGAGAGAGCAGGACAGGATGCAAGATGCAGTTAGAGAGTTAACCAGGGACGCCAGGCAGGCAGAGACCAAACTGCTTTGTTCTCTTTAATGTGATGTTTGCAAAGACGGAAGGAACTGGAGTGGCAGATTTCAAGTCTCTGAATTGTTGTTACACAGAAGGAAGGTGCCTCAGAAGCTAAATGAAAGGAAATACCCCAGCAAGTGGGATTTGAGTCAGAGAGTAAGGACTTCCGGCTGCGAGGAGAGTCTGAGGGGCTGCTCTCCCTATTTCACTTGCTGGTGTATCTGCAGGTAGCAGAAAGGGGGTTTGTTTGTTTGTCCAATCACTTCTCTGTCCTGTTCTCTCTGCCACATTCCCCTCCTATTGCTGCCAATCGAGGACAATGGACAGCTCTGTCGGGGTGAGTCTGTCATAGGGAGAAGGGCCTGAGACTGCGGAGGGGAGGGAGGGACGGAGGGGTATAGATGGGGTGCCTCTGAGCTACAGAGAGGAAGGGAGGGGAGAGAGGAGGGCACAGCCCACAGCAGCCAAGAACAAAAAGTGGATGGGGCCGGGCTCGGTGGCTCACACCTGTAATCCTAGCACTCTGGGAGGCCAAGACAGGAGGATCACTCAAGGTCAGGAGTTCGAAACCAGCCTGAGCAAGAGTGAGACCCCGTCTCTACTATAAATAGAAAGAAATTAATTGGCCAACTAAAAATATATAGAAAAAATGAGCCGGCCATGGTGGCGCATGCCTGTAGTCCCAGCTACTCGGGAGGCTGAGGCAGTAGGATTGCTTGAGCCCAGGAGATTGAGGTTGCTGTGAGCTAGGCTGACACCATGGCACTCTAGCCCGGGCAACAGAGTGAGACTCTGTCTCAAAAAAAAAAAAAAATTGGATAGGACACTGGAGCAGAGTGGTCAGGACTCAGCAGACATCTCAGATACAATGGTGAACCAGATTGACCCAACTCAGTCTTTATGGAAGCTGTGTTCCAGTGGGGAAGGCAGAACATAAACAAACACTTATATATGGAATTACAGATGGTTACAAACACTTTGAAGGCAAAGAACACAGGCAATGAGAAGTAACAGATGGGACCTGCCCAGGGGGGACCTGCTGGATGTGAAGGGACCCACAGCATCTTAGTGGGAGGAAACACGTGCAGGGCTGAGAGAGCATATGTGCAAAGGCTCTGAGGCTGGAAAGGGTCAGGGTACTTTTGTTCACAGAACTGAAAGAAGATACCGGGAAAGGGCTGAGAGATTGGCAGGAGTTGGACAGAGTAGCTGCAGCCTCGCGGAGCATGAGCTGGCGTTTGCACTTTATCCCAAGGGCAACAGAAAGTTGTTGGGCATTTTTAGCAGGAAAGCAGGAAAGTCACCTGTCCAGGTAATATTTTGCAAAGAGATACCCTCTTACTAGGTGTCTGATGTCACCTCTCACTGGAAATGTCCTCCTGGAAGAGTCTCTGAAAAACTCGTTCTTGGAGAGATCAGGTTTCCCCTCCATTTTTCAAACCCCTCCTTGTAGGTCAGCCCAGGAGAGGCAAACCCTTGAACAGGAACTTCCACTTGCCAGAAGACCTCAGAAGCGCCTTGAAAATCTGCTAGTGGAGAAGGTATGGACAATATCAGAGACTGGGGGCACTCCCTTAGCACCACCCAAATTATGGAAACCTGTGGGACCTTCTGATAAAATCTACCAGGCCTGGCCGGGCACAGTGGCTCACGCCTGTAATCTTAGCACTCTGGGAGGCCAAGGCAGGAGGATCACTTGAGCCCAGGACTTTGAGGTTGCTGTGAGCCAGGGTGAGGCTGACACCATGGCACTCTAGCCCGGGCAACAGAGTGAGACTCTGTCTCAAAAAAAAAAAAAAAAATTGGATGGGACACTGGAGCAGAGTGGTCAGGACTCAGCAGACATCTCAGATACAATGGTGAACCAGATTGACCCAACTCAGTCTTTATGGAAGCTGTGTTCCAGTGGGGAAGGCAGAACATAAACAAACACTTATATATGGAATTACAGATGGTTACAAACACTTTGAAGGCAAAGAACACAGGCAATGAGAAGTAACAGATGGGACCTGCCCAGGGGGGACCTGCTGGATGTGAAGGGACCCACAGCATCTTAGTGGGAGGAAACACGTGCAGGGCTGAGAGAGCATATGTGCAAAGGCTCTGAGGCTGGAAAGGGTCAGGGTACTTTTGTTCACAGAACTGAAAGAAGATACCGGGAAAGGGCTGAGAGATTGGCAGGAGTTGGACAGAGTAGCTGCAGCCTCGCGGAGCATGAGCTGGCGTTTGCACTTTATCCCAAGGGCAACAGAAAGTTGTTGGGCATTTTTAGCAGGAAAGCAGGAAAGTCACCTGTCCAGGTAATATTTTGCAAAGAGATACCCTCTTACTAGGTGTCTGATGTCACCTCTCACTGGAAATGTCCTCCTGGAAGAGTCTCTGAAAAACTC